CACACACACACACACACACACACACACACACACACACACACACACACTCTCTCTTTGCTCCTCCACTCTTCACCCCATTCTTTTTTTCTCAAACAAAGCCGCAAACACTCTTGAGCACACACATGATCTGTACACCAGAGTGCTATCACGTGCAAGCAATCATCATGCCTCAGATGAGCAAAACACGGGGCAGATGTGGAGCAGGGAAAATTCCTAAATGCTCATGTCCAACACACTTGACCACTAAATACAGCTGATTTAGGATATTCTGCATTCTTCAAAACAAGTAACTTGAGTCACACATGTCTCAGTTATCAAGATAAAAGTAAATCAGAATCAGCTGATGTCTCATATCCTGTTTTTCCAGAAGGGAGAAGCATCTGCCATGGTCTCCCATATAGCACGAAGACAATGTTTTGTATCCAATGCAACCACACCAAATTATAATGCATGGTAAAATACGAAACCCACCGGACATCTGCTGGGAAAATGTTAACTTTCTCAGTTCACTGAAAAGTGTGTCTTTGTGGGGTTTGACTTACATATATGTCAGTGGAGGGTTCTCCAGGAGGTAGAGAGCCAGGACTTAGCACAGGGGAGTTTGCTAGACTGCAGAGCTCTGGGAAAGGGTTGGGTATGGCCGGGAGGGATGATGTCCTCAGCTGCTGCTCCTCCTCCTGCAACCTCCTGGACAAAGGATGACAGTCATATAGTCAAACACACGCCTAGTATTAGCTTGTGTTCATCCCTGATACAACTACTAAGTGAAGTCTAAGGTCGTGACCTGGAACAGCCCCTTGAAAAGTGAGATGGGAAAAACTTTGAAATGAGAGCTGCTGACACATGTGAAATATGTGCAGGAAAGAGAGAGTTAGAATTAATAAAGCATCGATGTACAGTATCAGGCTCATGTCTGTTTCCATCTGATCTACCCCATAATAAAAAATTCCACGGCAACTGGAAATCACAGACCCCCGCAGCGCGCTAGCTAATGTTCTGCAATATTTATCACACATCAATATTAAATCAAGACATTGCTTTAAAGTCCTTTTTTTAAATCAGGCACATACAGTACAGTGGAAGCTTGTGCCCTGAGAGAGAAATGATGATTTGACAGCCGATCATAAACTTTTCAGGATTCCCTTTTTTTTTTTTAATGGGCAGGCCAGTTTCTGAAATTCTAGCTAGCTGGCTCAGAGAATCACTGTAGAAGACTCTTTCTCTACAGTGTTCTTTAGCAAACTGTCTCTCTGTAGAACCCAGTGAGTTCAAAAGGGAACGGGCCTTTTGATGTTGTCCCATCTGAGCTTGAGAACAGGGTTATCCAGAGGTCAGCCCTGAATAATAAGAACTTCAGAGTCTGTGCATTTGAAAGAGAGAGAGAGAGAGAGAGCGAGAGAGAGAGAGAGAGAGAGAGAGAGAGAGAGAGGGAGGGAGCTCATAAGACAGAATACTCCATTACCTGATCATCCCTTTTCTGCTTCTGTCATATACTCCAAAGGCGAATAATAGGAGCTGACACCGGCTCTGCTGTGAATGCCTTTGTGTTTGTGTGCACTGTACGCATGCAGCCATACTTCTGTTGCCTTAGTGTGTATGCGTGAGTGAGCGTATCCACTTTTGAATGCATACAATAACAGCCTTAGGGAGAATGTGGGTTACTATTCCTCAAATTGAGAGAGACATTTGCACTTGGTACAAAAACAAATGAGAATTTTTACCTTTCTCTCCCCACTGGTGTAGTTTGAGACAAAGGGGGAGTGACAAGGAGAAACGGGCCATTCAAAGGCTACGGATAGGGAGCGGGGAGGAAACGTTATGCCCAATTATCGAGAGGGTGGTGAGGAATGATAGTCTGGAGTGAGAGGCTTCTTTTCCAATGTAGAGACAAGAAAGGAGCTCTGCATGTGTGTGTGTGTGAGGCTGGAAGGAGTTAGCTTAAAGTTTAGTGGCATACTTCTGTTGTGGTTCTGTTGCCCAAGTGCATGTGTCTGTATGTGGGCACATGTACACTTGAAGTAGTATTTGCTGGTATATGCGTATGGCTATCTACAAGCATCTTCAGTTCTGATGGTACCTAAGTTGTGTTTGATGTCACGGTAAAGCCCCTGATGAACGGATACAATTTTACTGACAAACAGCAAATTCATAATTCCCTTCAACTGTGTGTTTTGATACATTCAATGTCATGTGTAAGCTAAGAGTTTAGAAATGATCAAACCGAAAAAAAAACCAGCCCAGTGTTGCAACTCTTTTCCAATGAAAGTAGCGAACAGCATGAGCTCCAAAAGCTGTAACAGGGACAGCCCACCCCATCAGGCTTTCCTCCAAAGCCACTCCCCCAACAACAAACATGGCCATGGTTATTACTCACAGTTATCAAGCTGGTGGAGGACTCGCAATGACCAATAAGTACACATGCAGAGTGCGGTTTGTGTGAAAGGCCCATTAAGAAAGTAGACAGGCCGTCTTCATTCAGACCGAATGAAATGATTCCAATGGATATCTTCTCCGAACCCTAAACTGCAGCTCCTGTGTGTCCGCAGACAGACCCGGTAGCGACAGCCACATATACCCGATTTTCTTTTTGTTGACGTTTTTTTTTTTTTATATCAGAGCATTTGATTTATTGATTGCTGTTGGGATGTAAAGACAATTTTAACAATTATATGAATATTTCTAAAAGAAATTACCCAGCCTATCTTTATTAAATGAGGATTGATCAACTATCAAAATAGTCCCCATTTAATTGTCGGTCGACTGATTCAATGATTCATCTTCACTTATCTTTAAATTATCTTCAACATTTAAAAACTATAACTTCAGTGCGAACTGAAAATCACCTGTCACAGTTGTACTTTCGTGTCACTTTACAACAACAATTGTTGTCACTAATGTTTCTGTTGCATCAAAAAGCCACACGCGTTTAGGGATGAAACTATATCCCTTAGGATACAAGTAAATTAATGTATTGTTCAAGAGAATTTTGTAACCAAAAAAACTAGACTCACAGGCTGATGGACAAATAAACCTCCAAACCCTGTTTGTGTCATAATAACATTCATGTGGTAGCACCTTCTTTTTTTCTATGACGTTGGTTATTTCACTGTGGCGCTCCAGAGGGTGACTCACCCGACTCGCTATGCCGCCCTGCAGCCAAATATAAGTTTATGTACATTTTTGTGAGGGCCGTGTGACATGCCCGTCTGGACAGCTCCATCTGGGGTTCTGGCACATTTCTATTCCCTGCCAAAAAAAAAACCCATCCAACTATGAGCTGCTGAAGAGGGGCAGAGCAATATATCAACACCGATATCTGTATATACTGTGGGGTCACCGACCTGACAGCGAGAATGTGCATGGGTTGTGACCGTCGCAGGCCGGTTTGGGAGGAGTCCGCAGACGAGGAGGAAGAGGAGGGCAGCTCCGGGGAGACATGGCTTAGCGCGTGTGAGTGCTGACCCTGCCGAGGCTGGTTGTGTTGCATGTGATGATGGTGGTGTTGGTGTGAGGAGATCTGTCCATTGTGCAGTAGTGGGGTGGACTCTGTCTGCTGGCCACTGCAGTTGGAGTACAGGCTCTCCAGCGAAGAGTTCATATCATTCACCAGGGCCTCTAAATCGACGTCATCCTCTGGAGGAGACAGATAGAAAAGGTGCACGTCACTGGCTGAATTCAGAGAGAAACTGAGAGTAAAATCCCTCAAATGAGGAGTGCAAGACACGCTTCTGTAAAGTAATGGAGAGGTTTCAAAACTTGCTGCAGACAAGTGAGCAAGGAACAGTGTGGAGCAGAAAACACATCACGAAAACTGGAAAGAACTTCAAACCCCAAATGCAATAAAACACAACAAAAGAAAAATGAAAGTCCTATAAGCGTGCTGTTTTGGTTTCAAATAGTTGAGGGACACACACAAAAAAAAGAAGTTAAGTCCCTGGATATTGTTGGGACTTTCCCTTTCTATTTCAGTTTCTCTATCATTTCATTGTGGCCTGGATTTGAACCCTTGACCTCAATTTGCCCCACCTCAATTCTAAGTAATACCAAAAAAAAAAAGGAAAGGAAAACACTAGCATGCACAAAACACACACACACACATGCACAAAACACACACGCACACACACACACACACACACACACATAACCAGTTTTGCGAGAGTGCACAATCAGCAACACTATCTTGACTAAGTACATTGAGCTGCTCTGGGAGCCAAATCTCCAGGGATAACAGGTACAGGCACAAACCTGTCTGTAACGCTGCTCAACTCTTACCACTGGGGTTCACAGCGAAGGCAGCGGCTCTAACTTCACCGCACATATCAAACATTCTGCTTTTAAAGGTCTTTTAAAGCAGGATGTGGAATTCTTCTCAGAGGGGGAATCTATCCTCAAAGCTTCTGTGAAAACCTCTCGGCCCATTTTAATTCATGAAGAGAATTTTTCAACTGACTCCAGGAGCAGGTTGGATCAAAGTTTGAAGTGAGCTCAATGGAAACTCTCTCTCTCTCTCTCTCTCTCTCTCTCTCTCTCTCTCTCTCTCTCTCCAATTGCTTCATGCAGTGAAAGTTTTATCATCTGGGTGAACTGGGTGCATAACTTTGTTCTTTCTAAATTACAATCTCCTGTGGTCACTCATCTTATGATTAATAGATCTTGGATATGAAAAAATAAATCTATCTCATGAATTCATCATCAAATGTCTGTTTTCAGATCCTTCTGAGTGTACTGCAGGACACCAGTAAACCACCAGGGGGAGACAAACTCTAATCGTACAGGGCAGGTGGGTTCATGTGAAGTAAACAATTATCTTGTATCTATTTCTAATTGTACTGTTGATTCTCTCAGTGGACACATGAGAAATGTGAATGTATCATTCTTAATCACTGAATGATAATCTGAAAATAGAATGGAGCAAAGTTTTTGTTAGCACTATCCTCTTCAGCACAAACTCCAGGTACAGCCGATGGTTCAAAAACTAAGCTTTTCGAATGAATGACTGAATGAAAGCTAACGATGTGCCATATTTGAACTTTTATCGTGAAGTACTGCTGTCAGAACTCCAGGACTTTAAATGTACCCTGCACTGTGTGACTCGTGTAACTTCCCCACAGCTCAGGGTGCAGGACACCTGACAGCTGGACCATACGAGGTGTTGCGAGGGTCATGCCACCTTAAAGCAGCTAAAAGTCCCACCGCTCAGCAGAAAGCTGACGTCTGCAATTTGATTGATGTAAAGTTTTAAAAGCAACTGGCTTCAAAGTGAGCCCCTAAGCCTGGCAAGGGATCAGTTTCCTGTGAAAGTATACAAGATGTTTTTTTTTTCTTTTTTGTTCCAGAGGCAACAACAGGAGCCACAGGTTAGCAGGATAGCAAACATCCCCATCTCTTTCATGCAGCAGCATAGCTGTGGCTGCAGCACTGATGCTAAAATATACCTGCTGAAAATGAGCTTTTTTTTCTGAAAACGTGTCGGGTAGCTGTATCACAGGTGCCGGTGAATCGAAGGTGGTTAATCTGTGGGTATTAATAGTGACAAGTAAGCTGGAGCAGCTACTTACAGATAGCCCGGAGAGCTAAAGAGCTATATACCACAAGAGACAGGGTTCATACAAAGGTAAGACAAAGGTAACACCGAAAGGAGCAATATCAACGGCAGCAGCAGCAACGGTAATTTAAAAACTAATAAATATAAAATTATTAACATAATCAAAAAATACATCCAAATGCTGTGAGGGTAAATCAGAAACTCCATCAAAAGTGAGCAAAACTCCAAAAATGACTTTTACCCTGAACACATCATCTGCTCATCATCCATCATTCTCACTAGGTGAGACATGTACCCTCAAGCTAGAGAGAGAAAATAAGTTTCCTCATGAATCTGACCTACTTTGGGATTGGCAGAGCACAAGAAACACAACCCATTAACCCACACAAGGATGTAGGATCGGTGCGTCATTAACGGCCATGCGATTGCGATCATGTATGCATGTCACAATCAGGCAAACAAAGGCATGCGTCATGTGCCCGGGTGTGCGGCTGACAGATTGATGACACAGAAAGCATGCAGGCAGGCACACACGCACCGGATTTACATGCATGAAGATCTGGAGCAGAGAGCCAACTATAGTTCTTTCTTTGACATGGAGTACAGACATTGTTTTGCCAGGCAAATTCATGTCATTGCACACCGTGGGCCTACAACATTATAGTATTAATTAGATCCTCTCGAAGTAGCACACAGAGCTACAGATGTAGACGGAGCTGACAGTGAGAATTTGCAGCTGTGATGCATCACTACAAACTTTGACACCAAACACTATGGGTAATATCAATACACTGTAAACGTGTCGCTGTAGCATGTGGCATAAATCTGCAGCCAAGGTCTGAAAGCAGGTGAGAAGAAACTCCCACTCCACACTAATGTGCCGAGCAAAGTGAGCTTAAAGGAAGCAAGAATCTCTTTAGAACTGTATCCACCTAAGAGAGGGATCTCTGTCGAGCATCTCTTCCGTTTGGACACGCAGCAGGTATAACCGCATCAAATGGGTATAAAAAGGACATTACACCTCTAGAGCTGCTAATTCTGTGTAATAAATGGATAAACGACGAGGAGGCATTATTTATAAAGTACATGAATGCTTTAACATGTCACAGTGAAGACCTTTGTTTTCAAAATAGCCCAAGCTTCCTCTATTGTCTGAGCCACACATACTCATTCACACCATTGACTCCTGGACCAACAGGGCTACAAGCAACCAAAAAAAAGGAGGGAGCAAATGTCACAGAC